GGACGAGGGGAAAGGAATCACACACCCACGACCTGAACCGGACGAGGGGAAAGGAATCACACACCCACGACCTGAACCGGACGAGGGGAAAGGAATCACACACCCACGACCTGAACCGGACGAGGAAAATCAGTGTTTGACTGTGTAACTGGGGGACTGTCCCAGTCACTATCGCCTATTTTGTTCTTTCACCAGAGTACTTTGTCTGCCAGCAACAAAAATTGACTACAGTTAATTTAAGCAGAAAAAGGACTATACCGGCCGAGTGTGGTGGCTCACACCTGTAAGTAATCCCAGCACTTTGGGAAGGTGAGGTGGGCAGATTGCTTGAGACCAGGAGTTTGAGGCCAGCCTGGGCAACATAGTGAAACCCTGTCTCCGTATTAAAAGATACAGAGAGTAGCCAGCGTGGTGGTGCGTGCCAGTAGTCCCAGCTCTTGGTGAGCTGAGGTGGGAGGATTACTTGAGCCTGGGAGGTGAGCCTGACATCTCAGGCACTGCACTCCAGCCTGGGTGGCACAGTGAGACCGTGTCTCTCAAAACAACAACAATGAAACCTAAAAAGTAGTGAAGGGAAAGCCCTACAGCTATAGAGGGAGACTGAAGAACTGGGCTCGGAACAGGACAGGAACCCGGCAGCCACAGGGTGCGGGCGGAAGGAGTGACAGTCTCACCGCCATGCTGGAACGAGCAAGTGCAAGCCCATCTTTTCTGCTCATTGTCTCATTTCCTCAAGGTCCAAATTCTAGGCAGTGAATTTAGGCAATTTGGTTTGATCCATATGCCCAACCCTTGGTGACCAGTTTTTAAAAAACAATTTTTGGCCAGACGCGGTGGCTTGTGCCTATAATCCCAGCATTTTGAGAGGCGGAGGCGGGCAGATCACCTGATGTCAGGAGTTCAAGACAAGTCTGGCCAAGATAGTAGAACCCCATCTCTACTAAAAATACAAAAATTAGCCGGGTGTGGTGATGCCCATGGTCCCAGCGACTCAGGAGGCTGAGGCAGGAGAACTGCTTGAACCTGGGAGCCTGAGGCTGCAGTGAACCAAGATCACTCCACTGCACTCCAGCCTGGGTGACAGAGCGAAACACCTTCTCGGGGAAAAAGAATGTTCTGATGAAGTATTTGTGGGAAAAAATGTTACCTAGGGAGTCAAGAGAGGGCTTACTCTGTTCTCAGAGACTCACGAGCTGATGGTCACATTGGGAAAGAACGCAGGCTGGGTAATATTTGTTTGGCCAGTCGCCACCGCCCTTCAGTTGTAAGACTTTACTTGTACTTGGGCCTGAAGAAGGGTATGGCAGGGGCCAGGACCTGCTACTGAAGGACTGATTCTGCTTACAGGCGCTCATGACCGAAGGAAGCTCCATGCCAATTACTGCTGTCTTCAGTGTTTGGAATAGCTGGAGTCTGGGAACTTTCTAAAAAAGTGTTCAGGTGGCCACTGCCTGAATCTTCCACTCTAAAACCTTCCTTCAAGGCTTGTCCCGAGTCCTATGTGCCCTCTGCCTCCTACCCTCACTCCTGCCCCAGGCTTCCCAGAGACCCTAATTAGTGTGAGCCTACCTTGGAAGCCAGGCTTCCTCCAGGACTAAAGTCATGCTGAGAACCGTACAAACAATCGAGGACGGAAACCGAGGTATCTAAGCCTGGATTTCCAGGGTTACAGAAGTTGTTAGGTGCCTTGTGTTTGCCCTCAGGGCAGCGGGGCTGACAGAGGCACCCATCTGCAGCAGAACTGAGGTGAGGCTCAGGAGATCAGAAAGGGGGGAGCAATGGCTATTTTCTGGGTCAACACGGTCGGCTTATTCTGTGCAGAAGGATGTCTTGGGGATAACTTTAAAGCATGCTTTGTCTTGACTACCTTCAATACGGATAGGATATATTTTTGTACATTCTCCTGTATTTCAATGAAAAGAATTTTTTTCTTAAAACAATACCGCTAAATTTATGGAAAATGACTCATTTACACCTAATTTAGTAAGCAGATAACGGGAAAAATCACTCCACAATCCCACCATTATAACAGAACCACACATTTTTTGAGTGTTTTATGTATTTTTGCCACATTTTTGCATAACTGTAATTATGAGGTACGTATGCTTTTTATATATGTAAAGTTCTTAATCTGGAGTAAGTTCAGATCTGCAGTGAAGTTACCGATAGTACAAGATTTCTCCAACGCCCTCACTGACTCCCGTTCTCCATAATGCTACCACCTTTCATGGCTCCAGTACCAGACATTTTCCAAAAATGAGAAATCAACATTGGTACAGGACTTTTCATTAAAACTCCAGCTGTATTCGGAGTTTGCCGGTTTTTCCACTAACGTCCTTTCTCCGTTTCGGGATCAGGATAGCACACAGCATCCAATCACCCTAACTCCTTGGTCTCGTCTCGCCTGTGACTGTGTCTGTCTTTCCTTGTTTTCCTGACCTTGGCAATTTTGAGTATGGTCAACTGTTTTGCAGGAAGTCCCTCGAATTTTGCTCGTGTGTTTATGTTGTTTGTCCTGTGTTTCTCGTGATTAGACTGAGGTGTTATGGGTTTCTGGAAACAATGTCACAGAGATGATGCGCCCCTTTCATTTTACCAGTAGGTCCGTGACATGTTTGGTGCTGCTAACCGCGGTTACTTGGTTGAGTTCGTGTTAGCTAGCTCTCTCTACTGTAAAGTTGCTATTTTTCTCTTTTCATACCCTTTTATTACGAAAGGTGAATCGCTAATTCCAGTTCATCCTCAATGGGTGAAGGAATTAAACTCCACCTCCTGGAAGGGAGAATTCATGTATTTTGTTTAGAATTCTTCTGTATTTATTCATTTATGTAAGGATGGACTCATATATATAGTTGACATATACTTTTTCTCACATAACATTGTTTCAAGACTTTTTCCTCATTTTACTGTAATTTTTATAAGTGTAATTTTGATGATTGCATCTTTTTTGTATTTTCCATTAACCTGTTACTCTCATACCTGACGCTGCAGTACACGTCTTTAAACAATATTCTGATTCTTTGTGTTCTCAGCTCTGGCATGGTGTCTGGAACACAGGAGCGTCTGCAGACGTTTGGGATAGACAGACGGATGAATTAATGAATAAAGGGTCCTTTTTTTCCTCTTCGACAGTCTTTTTGATCTTGGACTATGAAAACCTAAAATCTAAGTTAAATGTTGGGAACAGAAGTTTGGGAACTAACTGGAAATCGAGCCTCGGCTTTCTGTGAACTATACCTAGTTTGTAACAATGAGCAAAGGGCCTTAGAACAAACTGAAGGTTTTGTTCTGAGCTATTTTCCTGTCTCTAGTTGGAAAACGCGTGAACATTTTATCACCTTCGCAGTCTTTCACGTGGCTTTTTCATTCTCCTCAGTTTAAACTGTAAATATGAGATTTTTAAATAGGTAGGGTGTGTTTACAGCATATAAATATCACCTTATCTACTGGTTCGTCCCTGGCAAGGAGAGAGCTGGTAGTTTAATAATAAAGTGAGTCACCTCTGATGACTGCTGGACAAACACAAGAGCAGCAGTTGCAAAGCAGCTGAGGGCGGAGCAGGTGGGAGACTGAGGAGGGTACGCTCAGCACTGCAGAGGTCTGCTGAGCACTAAGAGGGGAGGCAGTCAGAGGCAGGTCACAACAATCTCGCCCCTCAGCCCACAGCGGGCTTTTTTTTTTTTTTTTTAGACAGGGTCTTGCTCTGTCGCCCAGGTGGGACTGCAGTGGAGCAACCTGGGCTCACTGCAATCCCTGCCTTCTAGGTTCGAGCGAGTCTCACGATTCAGCCTCCCAAGTAGCTGGGATTACAAGCACACACCACCATGCTTGGCTAATTTTTGTAGAGATAGGGTTTTGCCGTGTTGGCCAGGCTGGCCTCAAACTGCTGATCTCAGGTGATCCACTCGCCTCAGCCTCCCAAAGTGCAGGGGTGACAGATGTGTCACTGTGCCCAGCCCTCATCCTACAACGTGCTCTGTTCCACTGAGGAGCAGGGAAGAAAAACAAAGGTTTCATCAAGAACAGCTGAATTTGTGTGCTAGTGGCAGGAAAGGAGTGAGAGATTTATTTTTAAGGAAAACAACAGAACTTGATGACAGGGAGCAGGATGGAGAGAAGGCTTGACCAGCTGCGTGTGCCACTTAGAGAGGAAGTTGAAGACAATTAAACCTGGGTGACTAATGGCTAGGTTCTGGGAGACACAGTATTTATGCTGATTTTAGACATATTGGTTGGAGATGACAAGGGGACATTTAAGGGAAAATGTTCAGAGAGTTGGAGGGTAGAGTGGAGCTCCAGAGGGCCAGGAGCATATAAGAGAAAGAGAGCTAGACACTCACAGAAGTGGGAACAGAAGCATCTAAGACAAGTCAGATACTGCGAAGAGGAAGACACCGCTTCTTTTTTTTGAGATGGAGTCTCGCTCTGTTGCCAGGCTGGAGTGCAGTGGGGCGATCTTGGCTCACCGCAACCTCTGCCTCCCACGTTCAAGCATTCTCCTGCCTCAGCCTCTCGAGTAGCTGGGATTACAGGTGTATGCCACTGCCCCCGGCTAATTCTGTATTTTTAGTAGAGATGGGGTTTCACCATGTTGGTCAGGCTGGACTCAAACTCCTGATCTCGTGATGTACCCACCTCGGCCTCCCAAAGTGCTGGCATTACAGGTGTGAGCCACCATGCCTGGATGACACCTCATTTTAAATGACAATTACACCAAGGGTATGGGCAGGGGCACATGCCCCAAACACTAGAAAGGACTGTGTGTCACAAAGTTGAATTGTGTCACTGGACAGATGAAGGAGCAGAAATCCAGAGAAGTGAAGTAGTTCACTAGAGGTCTCAGGGTGCGTTAGTGACAAAGCCACTCCACCCTACTCTTCTTGACCTGTATGGTCCAGTTTGCTTACATGATGACATGTAAACAATGTTTAGATACACCTACTTTACAGTGGACACAATACCATTTCTTGACAGTCAAGGCAGGCTAACAAGAAACAGAATTTCATTTCCTTAGTTTATTAAAGATAACAATGAACCGTCAGGCTGTGTGAAAACTACGGCACGTGGAAGCCCCGCTCAGAGCACGGGCTGCACACACAGAACAGCTCTACGGAGACTCGCTCCTTTACGTTAATTCAACAAAGCTCCAAATCCTTGGCAGAGAATGTCAAAAACAGCCTCATTTAAGTGGAAAATATTTGTCTTCCACTCTTCTGCTATGTCTTGAATCTTGTCTCCACCTGGTAATCAAGCTGTTTTTCTTTTCCTTTACTTACAAAAAGAACACTACCCTCCCACTTCGTTTAGGAGGGATTCTCTTCAGTGCATTCGAAGCTTCTCCCCGCAACAGCAGGGGATTTTCAGATACTGTAAGTCGCAAAGTGCTTCCAAAACATCCCATCCTCTACCCGCTTCCCCACTCTCGAATAATGAACAGGCATTTGGACGGTGATGACAGCAGTGTCAGGCACAAACACAGACGCAGTCTAGAGGGACGGAGAAAACAAGTCAGGAGCATCTAAGGCCCAACACCGAGCTCAGCTTCAGAAACTCGGCATTTTCATCCTTGATCCTGAGCTGATGTGACCTGGCAGGACAAGACAGTCCATTTCTCCTCCAGCACAATGACCTGGAGAAAGGAGCTGGATGTATAGTTTACACCAAAGGTGGAAGGAGAGCTCACATCTTTATAAACCCCAGCGTCTGAACCTGGGGCCTAATCCCTAGTGAAACTTGAGTTCTGTGGGGTCATTCTTAAAGCTCCCTGAAGGACATGGGCACTTCTAGTCAGCCCTTCAAAACTGCTGGGACTTGGCTTTTAGAGCCGCACTATGAACTGAAGGGAGAAGAGCCTCAAGGTGTTCCAGCCCAATGAGGCTTTCAGATCCCAAACCTACGGCAGAGGTACCAAGAGCACAGGCCGGTTCCCACGTTCCTCCTGCGCTGGGGGAGCCTCAGTCGTGGCCGTTACCTTAGTCCTCTGCTGCTTCCCTGGGAGATTCCTTATTACCTCCAGCTCAGGCTCTCATCAGCTTCCACCAACCACATGCAACTTTCTGTTCAGCTTCCAGGGGCAGCGCATACACCAATTTTTTCCTGCCAGCAAGCAACTATGAGAAGACAGGTATGTGGGAAGAAGTCAACCCCAAAACAAAAATGCTGCCGGCTTTAGTTCACAGAGCTGCCAGCCCTTGGAGAAGCAACTCTGACCAGTGTCTTCACAAAGGTTAGAAGCTCTATCAACTTGAAGAACACCACAAACACATACACGGTCCCACCTAGACTTCAACCATCAAAACACACACTACAAGTGGGAGGGGGTACACTAAAATTAGAAATATGAAATGGACGACTGAACATGTAAGTATCACCAGGCTAGACAGAGAGTTAAGTGCATAGGCCAGGCGCAGTGGCTCACGCCTGTAATCCCAGCATGATGGGAGGCTGACATGGGAGGATCACCTGAAGTCAGGAATGCAAGACCAGCCTGACCAACATGGAGAAACTCTGTCTCTACTAAAAATACAAACATTAGCTGGGCGTGGTGGTGCACGCCCGTAATCCCAGCTGCTCGGGAGGCTGAGGCAGGAGAATCGCTTGAACTCGGGAGGCGGAGGTTGCGGTGAACCTCCTGAGATTGCGCCACTGCACTGCAGCCTGGGCAACAAGAGCAAAACTCAATCTCAAAAAAAAAAGAGTTAAGTGCATAATTGGCATAAAGGCTCTTGTTTATCCCAAGAACACAAGAACATTCACACTGACATCCGCAAATGGTCACGTTCTGCAACACCACTAACAGCAGGAAGCTTTTCTCCAACTTTGACAAAAGAAGCTAACGCAAGAGAGACTCGGCCGCCAGGGAAGGGCCCACCTCTGCTGCAGGAAGGGAAGGGAGAATGCAGTCGGGTTGTACTTTTACCCAGAACCACAACGACCATCTAACAAAGGACACAGTAGTCAGGGACACGTGAATGAGATAGCGGGTGGGGTTTCTGTCCTCACCTTAGGATGGCATCGGGGACCTGCCTGAGCTCAAAGATCATACCTGCACCAAAGAGCCAGTGACTAAGAGAGACCTGAACACTAAGAGGGGCCAACAGCTCCTCTAATTGAGTCGGCGCTCCTCAAGCCAGGGCTGTGGCCTCGCGTGTGCTTGTGGCACACAAGGAAAAGTGGCCTGGCCGAAGCAGCAGTTCTGCTCTTTGCTTCAGGCTCACCAGGGCAGATGAAAGTCAGTCTGTGTCTGTCACATCATCTAGGCCTCAACGGTTTCAAACAGGAAATCCCAACATAGGAACGCTCACGGCTGCCTCTCTGAGGAGTCTAAGATAGTTAGGACTCTGTTCTATGGCCCCCAAAATACCCAAATACACAGACAAAATGCCCACGACGTAGTCCCACTCTCCGCTGCTTCTCCTCAGGGCACAGTCTGACTCTAGTCCAGGGCAGGGAGAGAGAAAACTCTCCCATTTCAGCAGCAGAGGAGAGGTGGTTGAGAAAGGGCTGGCTCAGAAGCTCCAGGACTCAAAGGAAAATTGGAACTGATACTTGACATGCAGGGGAAACCTGGTCTGGTCCTAGTGGACGAGGTCACAGACGCTGGAAGAACTGGCTCTTGCTTTCTGCTCCAGACAGAGGCACTAGAAGCTTCACTTAAGGACCCACATATCAGTCCTCATGAAAACACCTGGTGCTTACAAATTACCTGTCACCACAGACTGGACCCTATCAGCCTACCAAAGGCTGACCACACATGGACGTCACACAAGTCATTAAAAAAAAGATGATGATAATTAAAAAAAAAAAAAAGGCCCAAGTGGGGCAAGTCCTTCAAAGTGTGGCTCAGTTCTGCAAAATGTCTGACCCTGGCCCCAGATGGAGGATTGATGTGCTTCCTTCAGGTGGTCTCCAGGACGGTGGCTTCCACGGCCAGTGCTTCTGCAGGCTCCTCCTCATAGTCCGACACGTAGGACTCCAGGCTCTGCTTGGCCAGCAACTCCCGCCGGGCCTGCAGCCGCTCACACCGCGGACAGCGTCCAGACCTGAAGCAGGCTTTATGGTAACACGCTTTACACTCTGTGCAGATTAGGAAGGTGAGAGAGAGAAGAAAACAATTCGTATTATCTCCAGCTAGAAGTCAGCTGCTGACACAGCCCCTCTCACCACCAAGGCTTGATGCTCCCCTGGGAGGTGCCGAGTCACACCGACCTCTTGCCCCGCGCCTAGCGCTGGCCTCACCTTCACATGTCCGGCACTTATGCAGCTCAAAGGGAAAGATGATGTCATCCTCATTCTGACAGAACTCACAGATGAAGCCCTTGCCTTGGCAGAGCTGGGGAGGAAAAAGACAGATGGCAAAATGAGGAGCAGCACATGAGGAACTGGCACGGGAGGGTGAACACTGAGGCAGGGGCCAAATAGAAACACTGAGTGGCCGACAAGCTTCCACTGCCCGCAGGGAGGAGGCCTGGGCTGGACCTACAAGCACAAAAGCTAGGACCAGAGCTGGGCAGCGTGAGACAAAGCTGTTTTCTGAGACGGAGTTTCCCTCCTGTGGCCCAGGCTGGAGTGCAATGGTGTGATCTTGGCTCACCACAACCTCTGCCTCCAGGTTCAAGCGATTTCTCCACGTTGGACTTTTTCTCCAGTCCAGGCTGGTCTCAAACTCCCAACCTCAGATGATCCACCCACCTCAGCCTCCCAAAGTGCTGGGATCACAGGCGTGAGCCACCATCCCAGCCTAGACAAAGCTTTAAGGAGGAGATCAAAAAGGCACAGGCCTGAGAAGCCCCCACCAGCGAGGTGGCGCTCCATGAGGAGAGGAAAAGGAGGAGGAATCTAAGTCCGCAGTCCCATCTGGGTAGTGATTTTATTCTGGAATAGGAACCACAGCGAGTTAAGGTAAGATGGAAAACAAGCATGTTCCTCGGAAGTAACACCCAGCCTGGAGTCAGGATACAGAGAAGTATTTCCAGTTCCTTCCAGGCACACAGGGCTCTCTGCCCATGCCCCATTTTAAGCTCTAATTCTGGACTGTCACAGGAACATAAACTGGGCAGTCTAAGACAGGAAGTTCTGAAAGTGAAATTTCTGCATTTTCAACATGTTGAGTATATCACGACAGTAACAACATGCATTTGTGGAATATATAACGTTTACAAAACGCTGTCACACAACCTACTTCATCAACCCTCAAAAATGCTGAGAAGCACGTACAATTTTCCACCTTAGAGCCAGAAAATTGAGGCTTACCTCAACGGGACAAAGCATTTCTTCTGGTCACTATGACTGAAAATAATAAACAGAGGCCGAGGGTAGAATCCCTCTCCAGATTCAATTCCAGAATTCTCCTCTCACATCATGACAATTCTTTTTTTTTTTTTTTTTTTTTTTGTTGAGATTTTTGAGTTTTGTTCTTGCTGCCCAGATGCCCTGGCTGAAGTGCAATGGCATGATCTCGGCTCACTGCAATTTCCACCTCCTGGGTTCAAGTGATTCTCCTGCCTCAGCCTCCCGAGTAGCTGAGATTACAGGTGCCCGCCATCATGCCCAGCTAATTTTTGCATTTTAGTAGAGGTGGGGATTCATCATGTTGGCCAGGCTGGTCTTGAACTCCTGACCTCAGGTGATCCACCCACCTCAGCCTCCCAAAGTGTTGGGATTATAGGCGTGAGCCATGGCGCCCAGCCAACAATTCTATATAAGTGTGCTCAGTCCTGCCCAGAGCTACCAGGGCCAGGGCCAGCACCAACTCCTCCCCTCACTCGAGGTTCTTTAGATTGGGATGACGTGGCTGCTCTCCAGGCTAAGGAACAGCAGCCCTTTCCTGTTCCTGTCCCAGTGCTGGCTGGCCATTTTAACTTCCTGGAGCCAAGTGACAAGAACCCCAGGTCCATCCCACTCCCTGCACCCCTCACAGCAAGGGCTGGGCTGCATGCTAACGTGAGACCTTCTCACCATGCATCTCTCCACGTGGGCAACCCCCGCCCTGGTGAGCTCAGCAAGCCGGGGCCCCAACTCCCCCTTCCTGGTTGCAGTCAGGTCGTTCAGTGAGTACAGGTGGAGATCCTCCGTCAGGTGGCCTGGGACTGTGTCAAAGGAATCCAGAAGCCTACAGGGAACGACAGGAGGCAGGTAGGGGAGGGGTGAACACTGTGTGACACGTCATACTAGAAAAATCCCTAACCAGGAAAGAGAAAGTAATGCGCGTGGGCAACAATCAGCCAGCCCAGGGTTCCAGGCCACCCCAGCCATTCCACACTACCAGGTGTCTGGATGGCAGAAGTGACTTATGGATAGACTCCTGCAGAGTGATCCATGTGGGATCCAGCCTGCAAAGAGTGGTGGCCTGCCCCAAATAGATGGCCACAGATTTCCCCTTCCAGAGAGAAGGACACAGACATAGTTTCTGCTGTGGCTTCTTGTTGACCATTTTACATTTCTGTAAAATCTCTCTACTCTCCTTCTTTACCAACAAGAGCCAAGCGCTGGGACAGGCCCCTTTGGGAGGCAGTAACTCAGCCAGAGGACTCTGGCCTCCACAGAAGACTCACTCTTTAGCCAGTCGGCATGTCTTGAACATGTTCTTCATGTGATACAGCTGGACCCGCAGCAGCTGAAAAGAAAGAGGTAGGGGTCAGGCATGGGAGGGGGATGAGAGAAGAGGAATCGGGTTTTGGAAAGCCCAGTGCCTTTAAACCCTGGGGGTCTAGACGCTTTGCACGCTGCAGCCAGAGCAAACTGTCCTACACCCCTAACTTGACAACCTGCTTCAAAATGCTCTCTACTCAGGAAAGGCCCCTCTGCCAGGTCTGTCTGCCCATAACACATAAATAGCCTGGAGCAGATGAGCACTCTGAAATTCCAACTTCTCACTTGATAGCCTATTCCTCGTTCATTCAGGAATGTTTTCCAGGAAGGAAGAGATTCTGCTTTTGCCACTGAGTGCTATTCAGCGCTTCCTAACTGCCACTGCCAGGTTTGAGGCTCCAGCCTGACAGACAACTGGGAAACGGGAAGTGATGAAGAACATACACAGGGAGGGCATGAACGGTGAGACGGCTGCAGCTTCGACACTGTGATAACAAGAAGCCTGACATCTTGGGAAGCCCTATAAAACCAGGGGAGGGCGGGGGCGGAGCAGGGTGTGAGCTTGAACGCCACCTTTGCCAAGCTCTTACTCGCACTTGGTTGAGCAGCTTGACCTTCCTGTAGAGGGCGCTGTTTATGTCCTGAACATTGAAGAGAGGATCACTCCAGATCTTGATGAGCAGGTCCTTGGAGAAATTGCTGACATAATATTTGCTGAAGTCCCACTTGCGCAGGATCCGGCTGGGGATGGCCATCTGGGCGTTCTCATGGCAGCACTGGCAGAAGTACTTGCCCAAGTACTCACAGTACCGCAGTCGCTTGATATAATCTGGAAAAACAGGAAAACTGAAAGGCCAGATGTGACTTTCCCGTCTACAAGCTGGTAAGGCGGCTCTGCTGTTCCCTTGGAAGGGCAGAGAGGGATGGCCAGCGGCCCCCAGCAATCTCTGTTTGAGTTCCCCAAAGCTAGCGGAAATCCACATAGTGGAGCCTGGAGTTATGATCCACCTTGGCGGCCCTGGGGAAATAAAACAAGCCGGAGTTGGTAAGATCCAGCCTTACCAGCTAGCTGGAACTATCCGACTTTCCACAGGAGACAATCCGTCACGCGCTCCTGGAAATAACTTCCCTCCGACTGCCAGCACTCTTGCCTAGCACGAACCTTTCCGGTCCACGACCTTTCTTTCCCTTTCCTCACTTCTGCCACGCCACCTCCTATTACCACCTTTGACAGGCCAGCTCTCCCTACGGTGGGAGAGAATCCAAAGCCTCTGGAGGCGGCATGGTGGGACAGGAAGACACTCACCAGGGTCAGTCCGGATGCCACAGCCTGCACAGCGGTAATTCTGCTTGGCCACAGCAATCTTCCTCCTGAGGAAGGGTAAGGAGAGGGCACTGGCAGACAGCAGCTACGTGAGGCCTTTGAGGCGTGAAGGATTGAGCACATGAACATACAGCTCTAGTTAAGTATGGGAAGAAAGGGGGATTCACCTATGTTTCAGCTGGACAAAAACGAACCTATTGGGAGAGCTAATTCAATACAGGATTTAGGTCTAGGCAGTGACTCCCCCAGTAATGAACCACACATTCCGTACGAATGTAAGGAATGAGGCATGGTAAAGGAGAGAGAATGACAGGAGAAAAAAGCATCCATCCGTCTTAAAAAGAGAAGAAAGGCCGGGCGTGGTGGCTCACACCTGTAATCCCAGCACTTTGGGAGCCAAGGTGGGCAGATCCTGAAGTCAGGAGTTCAAGACCCATCCTGACCAGCATTGTGAAACCCCGTCTCTATTAAAATACAAAAATTAGCCGGGCATGGTGGCACATGCCTGTAATCCCAGCTACTCAGGAGGCTGAGGCGGGAGAATTGCTTGAACCAGGGAGTTGGAGGTTGCAGTGAGCTGAGATCAACACCACTGCACCCCAGCCTGGTGACAGAGCAAGATTCCATCTAAAAAAAAAAAAAAAAAAATAGAAGAAAAACCGGCCGGGCGCGGTGGCTCACGCCTATAATCCCAGCATTTGGGAGGCCGAGACAGGTGGATCACGAGGTCAAGAGATGAAGACCACCATCCTGGTCAACATGGTGAAACTTCGTCTCTACTAAAAATACAAAAATTAGCTGGGCATGGTGGTGCGTGCCTGTAATCCCAGCTACTCAGGAGGCTGAGGCAGGAGAATTGCCTGAACCCAGGAGGTGGAGGTTGCGGTGAGCCGAGATCGCGCCATTACACTCCAGCCTGGGTAACAAGAGCGAAACTCCGTCTCAAAAAAAAAAAAAAAAGAAAAGAAGAAAAACCAGCAAGCGCACAAAACTACTGGGAGGAAGGTAGCAGGCTGGGAATGCCAGCAAAACAAAACCCACCTCATTTTCAATCAGCTCTAGGAAGGAATGGGAGGGTAAGAGTAAGAAGCTAAGGACAAAATGGACAATTCTCCTCCTCTGCCTTTAAATGAACAGAACTGCGTGGGAAGAACAGCTGGAGGCAGAGACCAGTGAGTGGGAAAAAAGGCCCCCACAATCCAAAGAGGACGCATCTGTGCTCCAAAGGGCACAGACACCGGCCACTTACGTTGGGGCTGGATGAACATTAAAAATTATCTGAGGCCGGGGTGGGGCCCATTCCAAGTTGCCACGAACACGAATACGCAGCTTGTAGATGTCAGCATGCTGCCCGTCATCTGGTGAGATGGGCAGTGAGTCCGGGATGGGCAGGAGCTGCAGGAGGAAAACACAGGGTGAGCTAACATGAACGGCCCTGGGAAACACAAAGGCAGGCCCCTTCAGCCGTGACAGAGCATAATGAATGAAAGACATTCCAGGAACACCATAAGGTAAGGGCTTCAGGGAACCTTGGTCCTCAAAACCAGCCAGGAGGTGACAGAGGACTACAAGTGAGGGCTGTAGGTTCTAGGAAGCAAACAGAAACAGCCTCCCAGGGCAGTGGCCCCAGGGCTGAAGTTGTCCCTGCATCCATCCCAGGACCCTTGGTGTGCCACGGTGTTTCCTGCCTTAAAAACAACTGCAGAGCAAAAAACCCAAGCCATTCACTGTTGCATAGTATCTGAGAGGGGGTCACAAAGCAAGCCGTCTACGTCTGAGTCCAGCACGCAGTCACGTAAGGACAGTGGAGGCGCTGCCACCTCCCACTCTGACAAGAGCTAGGGACAGAGGCATCCGCTCGTCCATTTATTCACTTGCCCCATTCATAGCGAATGGCTTCCATGAGTGAGGAAGGAAACACAAGTTCATTCCAGACTGGGGACGCGTGAAGATGGAAAGTAAGGCCAGAATACGGTTCCCGGGCAGGAAGGAGAGGTAAGGGCTTACCTTCTGAGGGGCATCATGCTCCGGGACAAGCCACTCCAGCTCTGAGGCAGCTGGAAGCTGCATCCCCTCGAACTGCTTCAGAAGCCCCATGGCCACCGCCTCAGCAGAGGTGGAGTGCAGGAAGCAGTGGGAGCTGGAAAGGAGGCAATCAAGGACGGCTGAACACAGGGAGAGGACAGGCAGTGGGAGCCTTCCCTGCATAATCCCATCCCCTATGCAGCAACTTCTCCAGCACCCCAGGCTGCTCATCATCTTCACACATGTGGACAGTGGAAAGGACTACCAGGGTCTCTTAGTCCTCAGACTTAGTTCAAGTCCCGCTTCCTATCGTTACATGGCATGGCCAGTTAAGGACTCTGTCACTTCCTTTCTCTGAACTTCAGCTCCTCTGATAGCAAAATGGAGATGACAATGCCTGTTTACAAAATAAAGTGAGTATAACTGCTCTGTGGACTAAAAAGCTATTTTTCCTCTCAAACGAGCTACTGTTTCCCTGGTTGGGTCTATGGTGTAGAACCTGTTCGATTTGATTTCATAACCAAAAATCATCATCACTGCTCTCTTTTGGGACCTTTTGGAGCCTCTGGTTATGATGAGAGTCAGCAGAGAAGGAATAATTCACACTTCCAGCTTTGCCTCCATGAGAGCCCATCCCACTGGCGCCAGAGCTTCTGCCTTCTTGCCCTGGGCTGGCCACCATCAGCAGCCCTTCCTGTTATTAGCCTTGCCTCTTCCTACATTTGCATGGCTCTGCCCATTCATATGCCAAGAACTGGGGTTGTTTCCCTACATATCCTAAGGTTTTCTTTTTTCTTTTTTTTTAAAAAAGTACTCACAAGGACTGGGAGGAAATGAAGGATTTGCTGCTTGAGGCTGCGTTCCTTCTGATGTCGGCATCTAAATGGAAACCAGAGATAAGGGGAGGACGAACAGGCAGGAAGTGGGTTAGGGGTAATGGAATCCATTACAAGGTATGCCAGCTAAGCACTCAGGGTAACAGCTAGGCGCCACATTCTACGCTGGATAAAGGAGCAAGTGAAGCTCTATACACAAGTTATAATTTGCCTCTGCCCAAGTCAAATCCAGGGTGAATTAGTAACGCTACGCACAGCACTTAGAAGGTCAAAGTGTTACAAACCCAGGCAGAAAGACGAACTCAGCTTTGTGTAAAAGTGAATGAGAAGAGCATCCTAAGGCACACAGGGACACAACCCCTCGCAAGCACAAACACAAACACGAGTCAAACCTCTCCCACTGCCTGGCTCTTATGTCACATTTAGTGCCTAACACGTCACTTGGATCACAGAGGTCATTCATTAAATATGTGTGAAATTGGAACTCTGCTTCTAACGTCTCAACACTGTTGCCATTACCCCTGAATGTCAGAAGTATTCTGCAGCCTCCAAGAAGCTTCGTGGAGGAAAACAAACTTCTCTATAACTTTGCAACTCTCTGGCCATACCTGGTTACCAACACATCTTGACAGACGGCCCACATGATCTGAGGCATAGCTCTACAGGAAAGTGGCCGACTTTCCATCGCCGATTTCTCATAAAGGATTCGGAAGAGGATTTCCAGTAATGATATTCCTGAACCTCCAGAGACCTCCGAGACCTCATCTACCCAAACACTTCTGATGGAGGGGAACGGGAAATGCAGCAGTTTGTTCAAGCAAGGCAGACACAGCCTATCCAAGTCACGAAAACAAGACCGTTCTGATAAATACTCTCCCACTTCCTTCGCTGCCCAATGAAAAGACCTTTATTTCCTAACTAAGCCTACACAACGATCAACCCACTATGGCTGAGCAGGCAAGAGAACCCTAATCTTATATGACGTCACTCTGCCCTTGGCCATGAGTAGCTCTACTGTTCCTCACGTTTCCTCTGTATGTAGATTTCTGAATGAACAACTAGATTATAAAATCACCCTATCAGGAAATAAGATTGTGTCTAATTCTTCTCTTGGCTCTAAAATACTTAACACAGGGATCATACACAAGCATATACTCAAATAATAGTGTTGACAAACTAATGTCTTCAGAGCTACACATAGGAGTAAGGCAACAGAAGTAAAATCTGTTTATTTCATATGTTCTGTTAAGCACAGGAAAACAAGACAATAACACATTTTTGCTGGAGATTAACAGCCTATTTAACAACAAAGAAGTTCATGTATACCATGTTTTCTGTCTGAATTTGTGCCACCAAAATCCAGATCCCAGTGCACTGCTAGCTACCTTATTTCTAGCTAGTTAGTGCTATGGAGAAAAAAAAGCAGTATAGACAACACTAGGCCCGACCTTCACAGACTGCTTGGTTTGCAACATTTATCTGGGTAACACTCACACTGCCATGGATGGACAGAACTCTTGCCTTGCCCTAGCATCTCTCAGAGTGCTTTGTATATAAAGGTTTTCAGAAAATACTTTCTAAATAAATGATTAATTGGCTAAAAGCAATTAACAGCTATTTCAAATTCCATCCTGTTTGGGAGTAACACAAAAGAAAAAACGGGAGAAAATCCCTGGATACAGAGCTAACCAATTTTCTTACTTTAGTGCCGGGCTATTAGAGAAAATACTACATGCCAGCAAGAACAGGTAGGTGATAATCCACAGTTTCTAAGGAAACCACTGCCTTCGTTCTTTATTCTCACAGAAAAGAAACCTTTTTTTCTTCTTTGAGAGAAAAAAATCATTCTCTCTTTAAAAAATACAATTGAGGCTGGGCACGGTGGCTCATGCCTGTAATCCCAGCACTTTGGGAGGCCGAGGTAGGCGGATCAGGAGATCAGGAGTTCAAGACCAGCCTGGCCAACACGGCAAAACCCTGTCTCCACTAAAAATACAAAAATTATATGCCGTCACCGGGCATGGTGGCGGGCGCCTGTAATCCCAGCTACTCAGGAGGCTGAGGCAGGAGAATCGCTTGAACCCGGGAGGTGGAGGTAGCAGTGAGCTGAGATGGGGCCATTGCACTCCAGCCTAGGTGACCAGAGCAACACTCTGTATCAAAAAAAAAAAAAAAAAAGGAGAAAGAAAGAAAATACAATTGAGTCACACCGTATCATGGTCCTTCTTTTTTACTGTGGTAAAGTGAGATCAGAGGCACATGCAGGGACTTCCTAGCCCATCATGAATAATTCCAACAGTGTGGAGGGACCACACAGCTTTGGAGGCCCTTACCCCGGAGCGGAGGGGGAGAAGCACACCTGAATCAAAGAGGCCATGACCTCTGACCCCGGCCGAGTGCCACACAGCTCTGTGGGTCCCGGGCCTCTGACCCCGGCCGAGTGCCACACAGCTCTGTGGGTCCCGGGCCTCTGACCCTGGCCGAGTGCCACACAGCTCTGTGGGTCCCGGGCCTCTGACCCCGGCCGAGTGCCACACAGCTCTGTGGGTCCCGGGCCTGTCAGCCTCATCATTCTCAGTTCAAGCAGATGACTAAATTGATGTGGATGAAACCCCGTGAAGACCTGGATAAAAGCAGACCAAGGACCCTGTTTCAAAAAAAAAAAAGTAGATCAAGGTCTAAGACAGGTAATTAAGGAGTGAAGAGGGGGAAGCTATTCATCTGGATGGATTAAATGTGCCAGGTGAGAGCACTTAAGAAGGAAGCCTGAGACACTCATCATCCAAGTGGAATTTAACATACTTCTGAAACTTTTTGATTTTTCTGTACAAAAACAAGTATTTCTTTTTCCAAGAGAACTGATTAGTGCTTCTGATGGATTAGATATTAGGTTGGTGCAAAAGTAATCACAGTTTTTGCCAATTAGTTTTGCACCAGCTTAATGGAATAAGGCTATTACTGACTGAAAAACAGTTTAAAGATATAAAAAGAAATAACAACAAAAACAATGACAAGTTATAAGGAGAAGAATTTGCTGCATGTCTAGACACTAGTATTGGATAATCAGAAAAGAACTGGTTAAAACCTTGGTGCCTTAGCAAACTATACAAATTTTTAAACAAAATAAGTAAGTCACAGGAAGTCAACTTCAGAATATACTGGCCAGTTTGATACTGTTTTCCATCCTGCTTTCTTTCTAGAAGTTAAGGTGACACATAACGTATCTGGGAATCCAACTCCAACACATTTTCTGCAATTGCTGACTCAAAAGGAAACTTCAAAATGGAGAACCCAAAATCATTCTTGTTTTATAAAGAGAAAAAACTTCAATTAAAAACAAGAAGATGGAGAAGCAAAAGATTACCTTGAATTAGATATAATTTTGAAACATGTCAGAATATATAGCTCATGCACCTTTCTCTTTATTATGCCAGCTATCAATTTCCTGTCTTTCAGCTCCAAATCTGCCCTTGTCTTTGCCTGCTCTGCAATAATGGAGCTGGACACAGAAACATTTCTCCTTTGCCAGCAGCATGATGTTAAACTCTGCAGGAGGCAGAAGGGCTTTCTCTGGCTGGTTCTGGTTGCTGCTAGGGAAGCACACCCTGGGCAGCTTAGCAGCAGAGTGCCACAAGTGAGGCCCCTCATCAACAGCTCCCCTCGGCACCTGCAGGGAGGGCTTCAGTCTTAGTGAGTGCCACTGGCACTCCCATGAAGTGCTTTCACCAGTACCCTGGAGTTCTGAGACAGTGCCTCCCATGGGCATCCTCCCTCAGCACCCCAGAGAACAGTTTCCCAGTGACAGCTGTTGGCATGGCACCTCCCCGTGAAGAGCGTCCCCTGGCACCATCTCAGGGCAGCTCTGTGCTTCAGGGAACTCCACCATCCAGTGAGCCAGGAGGTCTGGACCACAGCCTTGGGGTTATGTCACTTCTTTACACTTATTCCTGGCCAGGCTGGTCTCAAACTCCTGACCTCAGGTGATCCACCCACCTCGGCGCCCGAAAGTGTTGGCATTACAGGCATGACCCACCACACCCGGCTTCTCCTATGCACTCTTGAGAGTCTTCTTTACTCCTCATGAGCCACTTTCCCATTACATGATTCCCCCACTATAGTTAATAATTCTTTATATTAAAACTTTCCCTATTCAAATTACTGTGTAGTTTCTGTCTCCTGATTAGACCCTGACTAAACACATCTATGCAGAAGGTAAAAACTCTGGAAGAATCTGCAAAGGAAGATAAAGAAAAACTGATGCAGATGTGATAGAATAAAGTGGAGGTGGGAAAAAGTAAGAACAAGACTCTAAATCCGAAGAAAAGAAGCTGAAAAGACTGAGATTGGAGCTTATGAAAGATATTAAACCAACTGAGCAGAAACCATCAGCAGAAACAGATGAAGTGAAAAGCCAGACACAAAAACGTAAGTGTCAGTATCGTATAATCCTGTTTATATCAAGTGTCCAGGAAAGGCAAATCTACAGAGACAGAAGGGTTAGCAGCTGAGTGGGACCGGAGTGGGAACTGGAGTTAACTGTGAATGGACACAGGGATACTACTGGGGTGATGAAAATGTTCTAAAGCTAGATTCTAGTGATGGCTGCACAACCTGGAAAATTTACTCAAAGTCGTTGTACACTTGAAGTGGGTGAATTTTTTTTTTTTTTTTTGAGACGGAGTTTTGCTCTGTCACCCAGGATGGAGTGCAGTGGCATGATCATGGCTCACTGCAGCCTCAACCTCCCTGGCTCAAGCAATCCTTCCACCTCAGCCTCCAGAGTAGCTGGGATTGTAGGCACACACCACCACACCCAATGTTTTTTTGTAGAGATGAGGTCTCACTATGTTTCCAACTATGTTTCCAGGCTGGTCTCCAACTCCTGGCCTCAAGAAATCCTCCTACCTCAAGCCTCCCAACATGCTGGGATTACTGACATAAGCAATCACTACACACAGACTAAAAAGTGGCTTTTTAATTGAAAAACATTTCACATTCTTAGTGTAAAATCAGTCATGTGTATAAAAATTTTAAAGCCCCCAAAATGGGGAAAGGAAGGATGCTAGAAAGACCAAACAGAGGCACGCCCTGTGGTGAGAGCAGCCTGGATATGCGCTGACGGAGAAGTGGCTGACAGTCCACACAGGCACCGGTAAAGGACTGGGACTGCAGACACACTGGAAACCAGCTGGAAAGTGGATTACGGTAACTCCTTCTCAAGCAGGGAAGACTCGCATTAGACTAAATGGCAATCGTTCAGGAGGAGAAGAAAAGGAACCTAGTGACTTTTATTTCTCTCATCTTAAAAAGTTAAGTTGATACCATAATATTTGTGTGTATTTACAAGGAACATGAGATATTTAGATGCATGCATACAATGTGTAATGGTAAATCAGGGCATTTAGAATACCCGCTGATTGAACATTTATCACTTCTTTGTGTTGGGAACACTTAAATCTCTCCCAGCTATTTGGAAGCACACAGTATGTTAACCAGAGCCACGCCACTGTGCTGCTGAACACTGGAACTTACTCCTTCTAACTGGATGGCTGTTCCCATGAACGACCTCTCTTTACGCCCCAGCCTCTGCAACTGTCACTCTCTTCTCCAACTCCATGAGATCAACTTTTTTAGCTCCCACATATGAGTGAGAACATGGGAACTCATGTAATATTTGTCTTTATTTCTCTAAATGTGGATCTAATCTTACATAATGATTTCAAATTCTATCCTGACAATATTAACAGTTTTAATAAAAAGTTCTCAGTTTTGTTGTTGTTTTTGTGTTTTAAAGCCATTCTGAGTAGAAAACGACTACTTTCTTTCAGTTAACCTCACCTACAGAAAACCTACTTGTTTGGATCATAAAGCAAGAACAAACATTCACCCCAGTAAATCCTACTTGCACACAAAGTGCCTGGAAGAGATGGCTTTCTAAAAGTTGGCTCTGCAAACTCAAAATTCTAAAGAGACAGTAAGCTTCAATAGCACTCTCTCCTGCTTTTGCTGTTTGAATGTGTGGCAGGAGCTTAGGTGTAAGTTCGAACTAAAATTCTACATCTAACACTTCTAAACCATCCACTACCTCCATCAGTCACAGTGACCACTAAATCTAAATTTATCAATGTAGGGAAGGATCAAGAAGGACAAATTCGAGGAGGAAGACTGCTGGGGTCACATGAGGAAGGATCTGTGAGTACCGAAATTGTTCCTGGCTTCTTGTTCTGGCTTAACTCCCAGTTTCTTCCAAAGAGTTCTGCGGCCCCTACAGTTCGCGTAACCTCCACAGTTATCATATGATTAGGTCCACACGAAAGCTGGTGCGACATTCACACACATGCATCTATGAGCACATCCACGCTTCCAAGATAGGCTACCTGAGAACATGGAGGCCATTGACACTGAGAGTCCGTTCTTTGACATGCGAGTCAGGTTAGATCCTTCACTACCATCTGTGTAATAATGATCATAAAAGGGGCCCTTTAGTATTCCAGCAGGAAGTAGAGTAACAACAGTTCTATACCATATGTTCCTGGAATCAAAACTGGACATTTGCTCCCAAACATGAAATGGAGTTTAGGAACTTAATCCACAGGTAGGTGCTCACTCTAGCTTGGAAGACGGTTATTGCTACTTCCTATGCCAAGCCCAGCCTCGGGGACCGCCTACGGCAGTGGTTCTCAGCCACGGGTGAGTCTGGCAATGATGGAGGCGCTTCTGATTGTCTTGATACTGGCATCTAGACGGTAGAGGCTGGGAATGATGCTGAACATCTTACAGTCCACAGCCCAATCCCTCACAACAAAGAAAGATGTGGCCCATGGGCTGGAAGACCCTGCCCTAAGGTCTTTTCCTTTAAGGATTTCTGTTCCAAACTGACTAGAGAATGAGTTGATTAAACATCTCCTCAGGGCCCACAACTGCAGCAACGTTTCTAACAGGAGTGCCCTTTGGGCCTCTGCCCGCAGGCTCCTTACAGACTGCATAGCTTCCTTGGCGCCCTGCTTTGCTGCAGGGAGGATGTGGTCATCAAGTGGACGTTCTACACCCAGTCAAGCAGCCTGTTCTGAACTGACCTCACTGTTCTCCTGACATTCTGACTGCTGACCCTGAGAGCCAGGTCAGAACCCTCTTACTTTCAATCACAGACTGTGGTAGAGCAGAAAATACATACTTGGTCTTTGTCTGCAGTTCCTGGTAAGACTTCCTAAAATTCTTGGAATTTCTTGAATCATAGCAATGTCTTTTATTTTTCAAAAGCAGCCCCTTTCAATCGTACCTGAGTTTATGCTACTGAGGAGACTCCAGGCAGGCCCCAGATAGATAGCTTCACAACTGGGGGCTACCAAAAGAACCAACCACATCTCTGGAGGGTTGGAAGTTTTACTCCCCCATCACCTCCAGGGAGGGGAGAGGGGCTGAAGACTGAGTTCAATTACCAACGGTGATGACACAGTCAGTGGTGTCTGTATCATGAAGCTTCAGTAAAAAACTTGGAACAATGATGTCAAGAGGGGCTTCCTGTTTGGTGAACACATCAGTGAACGGGGGAGCGTGGTGCGCCCAGACACATGGAGCCAGGAGGAGTGCCTGTGCTCACCATCTCTCCGTTAGTCCCTATGCACTTCCTCAGGCAGCTGTTTATTTGCGTACTTTACAATAGGCTACAATCATAAGTACAGAGCTTTCCTAAGTTCTGGGCATCATTCAAGCCGGCAGGCGGTCATGGGAACCCTGAATCTGTAGTCAGCCTACGAGCAGAAGTGCAGGTAGCTTGGTCAGCGGTGTCTGGAATCTGAAGTGAATGTAATCTCACAGGACTGTAACTTGCAGGATCTGCACTAACTCCAGGCAGTTAGGGTTAGAACTAAACTGTAAGTCACCCTGATGGTGGAGAATTGGAGAGGAGTTGGAAAGTCACCTACAAACAAACAATTAAACAAACAAACAAAAGGAGTTTTAAATGACTACCTATTGTCATAAATAGAAATCAGAGACATTAAGGAGACCATAGCAGGAAGATTTCCTGAATACCTGGAAAATACGTGAAAAAAACTGAATTTCTGAATGGAGAAGAAATGTGGTTCCTAGCTCTGGAGGTCTATGCAGGTGAAAGGGCTCTCTAGATTGTACAAAGAGGACATCAGAGCCTCGTGCAATACAAGATCTATTTGTCATCACATGGTAATGTTATAATGGAGAATTATAGACACAATTCACCTCTGTCTACAGACACAATGTCGTAACAGAGAATTACAGATACCACTCATCTCAGTAAGGAGACCAGTCGTTTTCACCCATGAAGGAAGAGCTTATGTCCCTGAACTAGTTTGTTTGTTTGTCTGTCTGTTTGTTTTGCTGATGGGAACCTGAAGAAATCTATGATTGGCAGGAAGGGGACACTAACCTGATTTAATACAACTGCCTTCCCAGACTGGAACCCTACTGCTCCTCTATGCTGATACTTCCAAGAACCACCACCACAACCACAATAACAACAAAAAAAGAATCGGTGACTGTGCAGCAAGTTAGCACTGGCTGGACAGAAATTAAAGCTCTACTTTGTAAACCTTATTTTTTTTCCTTTTTTTGTAACCCGCCCCCAATGATTCTTTTTTTCTTTTGAACACTTTGAAACAATTTCAGTCTAATTTCAAGCGGTACAGACCAGCCCTACAAGCTGAATGGAGGAATCAGAGTGGGAACAGGAGAAAGATACCACTGAGGAGGAAGCATCAGGGTGAGATCAACAACCAGCCACTCCACCCGGAACACTTGCTTTCAGCGTTCTTTCCTACTTACATTTTAAAGGGTTGTTTTTTTTTTTCTCCAGCAAAAGGCTGTGTCCCTCACAACCGCTAACAACAATCCACAATGAAGATCTTCTACTTGGGAAAAACTTCTCAGCTTATCATTCTAAATGAGAAGAAAGAGGGAACGAAAGTTCCCCTGTAACAAAGTGTCACTTCTTACCTTGGATTTCAAATTCATCAACCTCATCAGCAGAGCCAGAGTCAGAGAGCTGTGCCGAATCACGTGAACTGAACTGGGAGCTGCTAGAGGTGACCCGAAAGCCTGTTATGTTTAAAAAAAAAAAAAGGAATAATCAGCGCAGAAAGGGGTCTTCTTGTTCTTACAGTGTCACAATAAAAGGGATCTGGTATGACTTCAACAGAGAGAAATTGAAACTTTCCCTTTAGAAAGTTTCAAGTAGGCCGGGTGCAGTGGCTCACGCCTGTGATCCCAACACTTTGGAAGCTCAGGCGGGCGGATCACGAGGTCAAGAGATCGAGACCATCCTGGCCTACATGGTAAAACTCCACCTCTACTAAATATACAAAAATTAGCTGGGAGTGGTGGCAGGAGCCTGTAGTCCCAGCTACTCAGGAGGCTGAGGCAGGAGAATCGCTTGAACCCAGGAGGCGGAGGTTGCAGTGAGCCGAGATCGCACCACTGCCACTCCAGCCTGGTGACAGAGCAAGATTCTGTCTAAAAAAAAAAAAGTTTCAGGTAAATAGAAGGTACTACTATCTGGGAAGCAAATCTGGGACTAGTGTTCTTAGTTCTCCTCATACTGGAGAGCTTTTTTTTTTAAGAGACAGGGTTTCGCCATGTTGGTCAGGCTGGTCTCAAACTCCTGGCCTCAAGTGATCCACCTGCCTCAGCCTCCCAAAGTGCTGGAATTACAGGCATGAGCCACTGCACCTGGCCTGGAAGGAAGCTATTTCTGATGTAGGAAACAGACAGACTCTAAGTTGAGTATTCCTAGAATGGTAGAAAAAAAGTATAGGACAACATCGAAATATCTTTCTGACAGCAGAGGAATCATTGGTTTGGGCATAACATTCCGAAGGAAGACTCATAAGGTACTGAGCCTTCTGCTGAAGCCATGAAAATGTGCGAACAGAAGTGTTCATGGGCTCCACTCACTTCCGTGCTCAGTCTCCTGGTACACCGGGAGCAGATTCTGGGTGCGGATTTGCTGGCGCCGAAGGCGGATCTTCTGCTTCAGTTCCTGGATCTCTCTGTCACTGTCTTCCTCTTCCACTTCCTCCTCTTCTAGGCACTGGCTCATCATGTTGCACTTCATTAGCTCGATGGCAGCAATTAAGGACTCTGAGATGCTAAAGTGGGCATTCTCCTGGGAAGAGAGCACCAAACAGGCAAAGGGTTACAAGGACTGAATGACACACTGACTAGAAGGTTGGAAAGGGGAGTTTCCAAGATAGGAAGTGCTTCTATCAAAAACGCCCTGGGGAAATGGACATTTCTAATATGAGGAAAGCTGATGGCCAGAAAACCTATTCTAGATTTTCTTCACTCTCTTACTTTGCCATGCCTGTCCCTTCCTGTCTCATTTCTACGTAAAAGTATAATAGAGAAGAGATCCAGGATTTCAATCAGGTTCTTTCCCAAAAGCATACACCTGTACACAAAATATGAAGGTAAACGCTATGTCTCAACATAAAAGTGCTTTGTAGGCTATAAAACGCTACACAGATGTGATTTATTGCTTATCTGAGCCTTAGAACAAAAGATAGGGCAGGACACGATGGCTCACACCTGTAATCTCAACACTTTGGGAGGCCGAGGTGGGCAGATCACCTGAGGTCAGGAGCTCGAGACCAGCCTGACCAGCATGGAGAAATCCCATCTCTACTAAAAATGCAACATTAGCTGGGCACAGTGGTACATGTCTGTAATCTCAGCTACTTTAGAGGCTGAGGCAGGAGAATTGTTTGAACCTGGGAGGCAGAGGTTGCGGTGAGCTGAGATCGCGCCACTGCACTCCAGTCTGGGCAATAAGAGTGAAAGAGTAAAACTACATCTCAAAAAAGAAACAGAACAAAAGACAGAATTTGATTCTGGAAAGAGTATTTATCTAAGGTGCCAGGGTCAAGGGAATGGCAATCATGCAGGAAAACCATGCTGCCAGGCACAGTGGCTCACACCTGTTAATCCCAGCACTTTGGAAGGCCAAACCCGTGACACAGGGAGACCCCCGGTATCTACAAAAAGAATAAAAATAGCCAGATGTGGTGGTGCATGCCTGTAGTCCCAGCTACTCAGGAGGCTGAGGCGGGAGGATTGCTCGAGCCCAGGAATTTGAGGCTGTAGTGAGCCATGAGTGTGCCACTGCACTCCAGCTCAAGTGACAGAGCAAGACTCTGTCTCAAAAAAACAAACACACACACACAAACTCAACACTTCTCTGCCCAGGTTGGCTTCTAAGATAAAATCACTAATATTCTGCACTCAGTGAGGAGCACATGCTCCCTGCAGAGTTCCCCAGAAACAGAACTTGCTGAACTTACCTTTACTGTGAATTGATCTTCACTGTTGTCTATACCCATGTCACTGCTATGTACCCAAAACCTCATGAGAACAAACAGCACCACAGACCTTCAGGCCCAGTCTCCCAACTCATGAGCTCTTCGCTCGTCCCCCAGGTTTCCCACCTTCTCCAGGTCTGCACAGCTGCCAAAGTCTTGTTCAGAGAGGTAGCTGATGAGGGACTGTCCTTCTGACGGTCTTCGGAACATGCCTTCAGAGCCCAGGTACCGACTGCCTTCTGTGAGGAAATGCAATGTGGAGGTAAAAAGCTTAGACTGGAAACAACCAAGCTTCTTCGAGAAGTCATAAGCTTTCAGCATTAAAGATGCTCCCACATCTTCCCGGTAACTGGGAATTGCAGGTTGGAGAAAGATGTCTACCTTCTAAGAGAATTTCTTGCACGTTGGGAGGCCAAAGCAGAAGAATCACCTGAGGTCAAGAGTTTGAAACCAGCATGGCCAACATGGTGAAAATCCATCTCTACTGAAAATATAAAAAACAGCTGGGCATAATGACAGGCACCTGTAATCCCAGCTACTCGGGAGGCTGAGGCAGGAGAACTGCCTGAACTCAAGAGGTGGAGGTTGCAGTGAGCCGAGATCGTGCCACTGCACCCCAGACTGGGCAATGAGAGCTGTCTCAAAAAAAGAAAAAAAAAAAAAAAAGAACTTCTTGGACTTGTAGAATCCCAGAGCACTAAGCCTCTTGGTTGGAAAATGGTGGAACAGACAGAGAGAAGCCAAGAGAATCCTTTTACCATCTAAAGTTAAAGAGAACATGCTCTCCCTCATACCGTACGAAAAAGAAATGAAAGTTTAAAACTCGGCCGGGCGACGTGGCTCAAGCCTGTAATCCCAGCACTTTGGGAGGCCGAGGCGGGTGGATCACGAGGTCAAGAGATCGAGACCATCCTGGTCAACATGGTGAAACCCCGTCTCTACTAAAAATACAAAAAATTAGCTGGGCATGGTGGCGTGTGCCTGTAATCCCAGCTACTCAGGAGGCTGAGGCAGGAGAATTGCCTGAACCCAGGAGGCGGAGGTTGCGGTGAGCCAAGATTGTGCCATTGCACTCCAGCCTGGGTAACAAGAGTGAAACTCCGTCTCAAAAAAAAAGGAAGTTTAAAACTCTGGGCTGGGAGTCAGAAAAGGACACAAATGGCTTCTTTCAGTCCGAGATTTCTACAGAGAGTCTGTCTTCTGGTTATTAAGCCCAGATACTCCAAGGCCTCTTTTCAAGGTCCATCTCGTCCACTCAGAGAGCTGTCACCTGGACCGACTGACATACCAGATGCCAACACCCAGAGCGTAAGAAAGGGTGGAACCCCTAGGTCAGAGAGGCCCAAGAGAAATGGCAGAGCAGTGCGATTTCTAGCTCAGGGCTTGAAAATGACAAAAGGGCGGCTGAGACTATAACAGTGTATACCCTCTGCAGAGCTGAGATGAACCCCAAAGCCCAGAACTTAGCAGGCACAAGGGGTGAGCAAAGAAAAGATACCATTTTAGCCCTGGCCCTTCTAGTACTCACCATAGTCCATGTACAGAGAGCTGGGTGAGCTGACTTCACTGCTTTGACCAGAGTAGGGCAAGGAGCCTCTCAGCTTCGACTTATCATTGCAGGATTCTATCGGCAGTGACCACCAGGAAGTATAAAACACACACGAAGTGAGCAATAGCTACATTCCCAACTTTGGAGTTTAAACATGTAACTGCTCCCCTTCCCAAAGCCCTCCCAAGCAGGAGAGAGGTGGCACCCCAACAGGGAACATCCCAAGGATACAGAAACACACGGAGGGAAGGAGATGGGAAGTCAGTACATTCTAAGTGGAAAAGAAGAAACGTGATCAGGAATGGCGCAACATAAAGGTGAGAAAGAATCAAATCAAAATGGATTCATGAAATTTGCTTCTCTTTCCTTACACCTTTTAACCAAACATTATAGGAATATCAGCCAATTTTGATCCTCTTGACAAACCAATTTAGAAAATTGTTTAGATGGTAAAACAAAGACAAGAGCATTGAAACTTTTCTGACATCTTGACATTAGGTTTGAAAGTAACATCAGAAGGTTTACATTCACTAAGGAAATAAGATAAAATTCAGCAATGTCCTAAAAAGAAGCATCAAGGCAATGCTGGAGAAGCTAAGGAAGACGGCCTCGTAACCAAAGGGCTTGGCCCGTCCTTATTGAAGCAGTAAGGGAGGGAAGACTGGCAAAACAGAAAACGCCTGAGAACAAGAGGAGTGAGAGCCGGGAGGGGAGAACAGCAGCAGGCAGGGCTCGCAGGAGGGAGAAACCGATACTCTTCACCAGGAAACACAACATTTCCAGGACCACAGGTAGAAAAGCCAGGTGGGTGCCTGGAAAATGGGCAGGAGGCTGTGGGAGAATGAATGATTGAGCTGCATCTAACCCTTTCCCTGATAGATGGTGCCAACTTGCTGGCTGCTCCTCTCACAAGAAATGCTACTCTCTGAAAGAGACCATTTTGTGTTCTTCTTCGGCTCAAAGACTTCTGGCATCCCTGGCCATGGGCTCTGTTCCTCCCTACTGAACTGAGGACAAACTAGTAGTCACCATGATGCCTTGGCAAAAATCCATGACTTGGAAGGGCCCGTTGAGATTCCCAAACAGCACACAACACAAACTCCACCGTGACCTTCCCTCTTTACACCATGTGGCCATTCAGCCTTTACTTCCTGAGCTCACTACCCCCTAATGTTGCCATTTAACTAATTCTCAGAATTTCCTGACACTCACTTGATATCTGCCTTCTCACAATTTCTTATCTCCTTAATAACAATCCTATTCTAAATGATGGTCTACAGACTTTCTTTCTCTTTAACCATCTCTTTTCCAAGCTAGCATACTCAGTGGCCCCACCCATTTCCAGGAAGCCAGAGCTCTCAGTCCCCTCTCACTACTCTGCCTGGCAGTCACATTCCAGTGTTAATCTCCATGAATTACGGTATCCAGGATGGAGCGCAAATCTCAGTTTGAACACCATCATGAAAACCAATGAAACAGATTCAAATCACTAGAAAAATCCTATGCAATACCTGGAATGGGGTGGGTGCAGGGATTTGTAGGGAAATGAAAACAGGTGAAAGAAAAAGGAAAAAACAGGGAACTCCAGGAGAGGAGAAAAACCAAAAAACCAAACATGCAATTATATCTAAGACCACAGAAAGGGAATAAAATACATTCTGGTGTTAATTCAAGGAAAATAAAGTCATCCATAGGAAGTATTCAGTTATAATAAAAATTCTGGGCCGGGTGTGGTGGATCACGCCTGTAATCCCAGCACTTTGGGAGGCCAAAGCAGGAGGATCACTTGAAGCCAGGAACTCAAGACCAACCTGGGCAACATGGTGAAACCCTGTCTCTACAAAAATTTTTTTTAAAAAGTAAAAAATTTTTAAAAAAGAAAAAAACATTCTGCCACTGATTCATCATGATGCCCCAGACAAACAGCAGGCCTCAGTTTCACCTCTGGGCAAAACTGAATTTATAAGTCTTGACTCTGCCCCCCAGAAGCTGTTGAAAGATTGAATGAGGCATTTGGAATTGTGTACAGAAAACACATCATATGAAATACTGGTATCATTTTAAAGACAGTTCTAAGCATCACAACAAGACCAGACTAGCCAGACTTGATTTGACACCAGACTGAATAACATTTTGAACTAAGAAAGGTGGTCACAGAGCAGAACAAAGAGGAGATCGAGGACCAATTCCCAAACCTGCAATGGGATCTTCAACTATAATGGTGATATTCCTGGGGCCTCCTGCAGGTTGACAGACAGGTGCAGAGGAGAGTCCAGACAGAGCAAACAAGGATAAAGAGAGAGAAAAAAGGTGTCCTAAATTTTACCTAGCAGAAGTGGGGATGTAACTCCCAAGAGGGAACCCCAGTTGTGAAGGAAGAATGACTCGTACGAGAAGCTATGCATGACCCATATTTCTTCAGACCCTTCTGCACACATTTTCCCTGGCTCCCCTTTCCAGTGCAGGTCACCGTGGTTTCTGGAATCCACATGCATTCAAGAATGGGGGCAGGGAAGTTTTACATGCTCAGTTTGGAGTATGGCGGACGCCAGGCCTGCGGCAGGAGACGTGAAGTGAGGGTCTAACCCAGGTAATCTTCACATCTAAGAAAGCTCATGGGAAGACAGGCTTCGATTTGGAGATTCTTCTCCTAAAGACTTCCCAACAAGTCAAAGCACATTCTTGAGCGAAAACAAAGACAAAAGTTTGTAATTCTGAAGGTTTCAGAGGACGGCCTTAGGACTCATCTTTCTAGAAATTACAAAGAGAAAGCAGCAGTATCTCCAGTTGCTAAAGAAAACCTTTTTTTAGGTCATTAAATTTTTTGTATTTTATTTCCAGGGTTTTCCTGACCCAGAACGGCTTTGAGCACAAAGCTCCATGCTATACTTGCTCTTCTACAAAACCCAACCAAAGCCTGCCGGATACCACAACCCCGGGAAGATGGTGGCAGGGACATGGCAAAAGCAAGGAGACCCACCTTCCCCATGTGTAGGCTGCCCCTGCTACCAGCTGGTATTTGGTGAGGCAGGTCCCAGCGGCCAGGGCCTCCTTATCTGACTGCCTGGCAGCCTGACTCAGTGACGCAACCATCAACGCCACCTACTTAGCTGCTAGATTGTATCACCCTATACTCACTATAGCCTTAGTTTGAATTAGAAAACCCCAATCTCATTCGACTTCTCTCGCATTGGTATTATTACACCCTGACCAAACTTCTAAGATGTCCCAGGAAAAGACAGAATGTGATGGGATTATTTTTAAAGCTTATTAATACTTTGCCCTGATCCAAGAGATACTTTTAAACTGCGATGAGTCACGCTGTCCTCTGATGTCACTACACTAGTACAGAACCCAGGAAAACATTTAATATTTAGCAACGTGTAAAGAAACAAACATAAACACACTTAGAGATTTTGAGTACTGGACTTCGTTACAAACGTCTCCTTTTCATTATAGACATCATGGCGTCCGAAACAGAACATCTCTTTCTGCCATCTGAAAAGTCCCAATAACAAACCCTCTCTTCCACTCTCAACTCAGGGGGCCATGTTGCTAACTAGCAGCGGGGGTTCCTCATTACCTGGAGCTCCTCTGGAGGCGATGTTGGTATCTGAATGCGAGCGAATGTGGCTCTTCTTTGCCCCACTGGTGACGGTGAGTGTCTGCCCCTCGGAGAAGCTGGACCTGCGGAGGACACTGGACAGCTGGCTCTCCCCACCTCCTTCCTGGTCCCCTAAGGAAGATGCAGCAGAATCTGGCTTCTGGGAGCTGCTGGAGGAGAACAAATTGGAGCTGCTGCTCTCAGCATTGCTGCTGTGACTCTGACAGCTGGCAGTCCGGCCTCGGGGGTCCAAGTTGCCGATGGCCAGGTACTCAGGCCCCTCACTGGCATCACTGGGGGAATCATTCTGGCTGCTGACCCAGGATGCCTCTATGGGGCTGGGCAGAGTACTGGAGCTCATGTCATTCGGGGTCAAGAGGGAATCCCTGGCTACTGCAGAGACTGAAACCAGGGGGGCTTGGATGGTTTGATCCTCTGCTGGTGAGATGTGCCCTCTGCTTTCTTGAGGTTTCCGCGGAGGGCCAGAGAGTGAAAAGGAAGTAGATCTTCTCTCTAAAATATAAAAGGAAATGGTAAGGGGAGCAAGGTGAGGTAGAATCCTACAGTATGTATGAAGGACTTCCTCACAGCTAAATTCCAAACTTTCTATTGTTACTGGGTGTCCAGGATACATGATATCACCTCAGAAAAGGCAAGTCAAATAAAGTATAAAACTATTTAGAAGCAGCTAAGTCAAGAGTGTGGGCTCTTGAGACAGTGGCTTTATTGCTTATTAGTACGCATTCCTCATCTGAAAAATGGGCAATAATATTACCTACCTCAGAGGACTATTTGAAGGCTCAAATGGGATAATGCACACAAACTGAATACAACAGAGCCTAGCATATGACTGATAGTCAATCGGTTCCCTGGTATTTAAATGCCTTCTTGGCAATGTGGATTAGAAACTCAGGGGAATCTAAGAACATCTCTCTCTTTTGTGACTTAATGATTCGACTGAATTATTTTAGGCTAGTCACTATGTAACTTTTAAAGATGTCCCTTATTAAGACAAACTGTACCAACCCAAGGCTCAATTCCAAGCCTATGAGCACCCACAGAGTCTTCTTACTTTCCATGGCTGGGATAAATGTAATGACCACCTTTTCCTGCCCTCATACCTGAGCCATTGTTGGGCACAGACTGGTGAAGGCTGGAGAAGGACCCCAAGTAGGAATGCTGAGCATAGCTGGTTGGAGGGGTGTACGTGGAACTGGGCAGGGCTGTCAGGCTCTGGCTTTTTGTCACCAGGAGTGGGCTCTCATGCTTTCTGGCAAACTAAAAAGCAAAACAAAACCAAGAAATGTGTCAGAGTTAAGGACGGAGGGCCTGGGTGCACTCAGTACTGCAGAAATGCTGGTAGAAGCTACCTTTGGCAGTAAGCCTGGAGTTTAACTACAGCCTGTAGATACAGCAAGAGTACCTTCTACTACAGTATGTAATTCGCAACTTTGAAACCACAACTTCTGCCCTGAAATCCTTCTAGCTGTCAAATCAGGAGTACTTTATTACAAAGGCAGCAAAACAAAAAAACATGCATGTGGAATCAGAGGTCAGACAAACTAGGGTTCAAATCCAGGCCTTGAGATTTACAAGCTATTTGGTTCAAACTTTGGACAACTTATCTACTCTGTGCCTCATCAACCTCCTTTATAAAACGAGATCAGATGATCCGTGTATTACGCATAGCACCATGTCTGGCACATGAAAAATGTTCAGTGGGGCCAGGTGTGGTGGCTCACGCCTGTGATCCCAGCACTTTGGGAGGCCTAGGTGGGCAGATCACTTGAGGTCAGTTTAAGACCAACCCGGCCAACATAGTGAAACCCCGTCTCTACTAAAAATACAAAAATTAGCTGGGTGTGGTGGCGCACGCCTGTCATCCCAGCTACCTGGGAAGCTGCGATCACACCACTGTACTCCAGCCTGGGTGACAAAACAAGACTGTCTCAGAAATAAATAAATTAATTAATTAAATTAAAAGAATCTGGACAGATAGATAAGAAGTGGGGGCGCTGATTCCATTCTAGCTAAGGCGCTAACTGGAGTATTAGCGATGGGATAAGTTAATTTTAGACCACAAATTTTCTTTGTAGGATAAAATTTTCTTTACATCAAAGAAAAAAAACATGAAAAAAACGAGCTCATGTAACATTAAGCTACGTCAGGTCTGAAGGTCTGACGGTAGGACCTACCCGATTCAGAACCAACCCTCTTTCCCCAGATCTTTCCAAGGCTTAAGGAGGCACTTCCTCAAAGGACACCGAGCGTTTAACAAAATATACCTCCCCAACTCCCCAGCTTAGGTCCACTAAGCACAAGACCTAAGCTTAGACTTTCTACTTCAGTAAGTACTTAACAGTACTTCTTCTCCAAGCATTTTTAAAAATGAAAGCCTTTCAGCTCACAAAAATGCCTAAGTGAAAGAACAGTCTGCTGTAGAGGGTCATATCATGCTGAGATCCAGGGACCCAGCAAAGACATGGATAATTCCTCGTCCTCTTTACCATGGACACATCGATCTGAGCCAGGAGGCGAGGGTTGTTCTGTTCCACTGCTTCCAGGCACTGGAGCATGGCTGTGACATGAGCATCACTTAGCAGGAAAGCAGTATCTGGGGAGAGAAAAGCTACCACAGTCATAAAGCCCAATAGGGAGGCCCTGGGAGAAACTCAAGGAAAGAGAAAGGGAGGGGTAAGATGAATGAAGAAGAGTCATGCCACTGTAGGGTGAAGGGAAATCAGAAATAAAGAGAACAGGCTAAAGAACGTGCAGTACAGCAAAGTGGCCAAGATAAGAGGCTTCAAAGTCAGAAAAATGCAGATTTGAATCCTGGCTGAGTGACTTTGGCCAGGTCACCTAAGCTCCTTGGCCTTGTTGACTGGAAAACAGTGGTACCAATACCCAACTCTCAGAGCCGCTGTGGAGATACTGTACAGCAGTGACTGGCACGCAGGAAACTCCTGGTAAATGATGGTTATTCTCACTGGTTTGTGCATGTGTGGCCGTTGAGGATGACCCTAACATAAAGCTGGACTGTGTTTCACTTGGGAAGTGAGAGGGAAGATCAGCTATGTGTTTCTGCAGGGAATCCCTATGGCATCAAGTGAAAAACAGGAGGCCCTGGTACTAGAGGGACAGAGGAGTAGTGAGGTGGGTGACGATGAGGAAGCACAGACAGGAGTCCTCAGTGGCCTCCACCTACCTGTGTAGAACTTTCTGATGTACTGTCTGTCCCCGAGCAGGGGCCGGAGCTGGGCTGAGAGGCAGTGGAACTGCAGGCTGTGCTGCAGCCACAGCTCTGCAACAGCGTGTTCACTCACACCATCAGCACTGCTCTGGCCGTTCTCATGCAAGCTGATGAACTGGGAAGCAAACGGGTATGAGTCAAAACATACATCCTGGTAGACACAGCAAGACTGAGGCCTAATGACCTGAGAACTAAATTGAGACAGGTAAGGGAAATGCTTTGAAAAGCTTCACCCTGGGTCCCATACATGCAGATTTTACAAAACTTTAAAAGTGGCCTGGACCAATGGATTTACATGTTTTGTTTTGCTTTTGTTTTTGTTTTTTTAAGAAAATCAAGTTGGTCCCTAAAGGGATAATTAATTTCCTTTCCTCAGTTGATGGGAAATTTGACACATTCCATCCTTGGAGCCTAGAAGATTCTGCTGACAGAGCATCAAACAACGAAGACCTACTGCTCTACCAGCACACCAGCTCTTCTTTCACTCCTACCTTCTCCACATGAAGGGCTGAGTGGGGACTGAGCCACCGGATATCTTTCACAAACTGCCAGTAATCAGTCTGGCGGCAGCACACGTGCTGAGGGAACACAAAAAATGAGCAAATCACTACCATTCTGAACCAAATCTAGTTCTAGGGTTAGCATTTAAAGAGAGAAAAAAGAGCATAACCTTCCTGTGCCTCACCAAAGATTCTCAGCAGCAATCAAAGGAATACACACAGAGGCCAGGTGTGGCGGCTCACACCTGTAAGCCCAGCACTTTGGGAGGCTGAAACGGGAGGACTGCTTGAGTCCAGGTAGACTGGCCCATCTCTACAAAAATTTTTAAATTAGCCCAGAGTGGTGGCACATGCCTCAGTCCCAGCTGCTCAGGAGGTTGAGGTGGGAGAATCACTTGAGCTTAGGAGATCAAAGCTACAGTGAGCCATGACTATACCACTGCACTCCTGCCTGGGCAACAGAGTGAGACCCTATCACACGCACACAAAAAAAGGAATACATACACATGACATATGTTTACCCTTTTAAGGAGTAATTGTTAAAGATTATTTTAATCATTCTTTTGAACAGGTAACATATGCATAAGATATATAAGGTATACAGAGAAAATAATATGTTTTCCTTTTCTTTTTTTTTTTTGAGACACTCTGTCGTCCAGGCTGGAGTACAGTGGCATGATCTCAGCTCACTACAACCTCTGCCTTCCAGGTTCAAGTGATTCTCGTGCCTTAGCCTCCCAAACAGCTGAAACTACAGGCACCCACCACCACACTCGGCTAATTTTTGTGTTATTAGTAGGAACAGGGGTTTTACTGTTGACCACGCTGCTCTCAAACTCCTAGCCTCAAGTGATCGGCCCACCCTGGGTCACTTGTGTCGGGATTACAGGCATGAGTCGCTGCACCCAGATGAAAATAATATATTTTCTACTACTTTCTCTCTACCATTCTGCTTCCTAAAATATAATTCTTAAAACTGGTAAAGAGTTATTTGTTAAAAGCTAGAGACGCATGTCTTTAGTTCTTACTGCAAGCAAAACCAAATAAGGAAACATCTACTTTTCCATGCTACACAGGTCAGGAAAAAGCTGTGGAGTCAACAAAATGTCCAGACCTAGACAAAACAGCCTGACACTGGAATAGGCCTAAACATGCAAAAGGTTTCTAGCATAACAAGCCAACTGTTGCTTTTTGATCATCTTTTCTGAGACTACTAGATAGGGATTAAAACTAACATCTAAATAATTAAAAATATATAGAGCTAGCACAAGTGTCAAGAGACAGACCAGGCCAGGCATGGTGGCTCATGCCTGTAAACTCAGCACTTCGGGAGGCCAAGGTGGTTGGACTGCTTGAGCCCAGAGTTTGAGACCAGCCTGGGCAACATAGCAAAACCCCACTCTACTAAAAATCCAAAAAATTAGCTAGGTGTGGTGGCACATGCCTGTAGTCCCAGCTACTTGGGAGGCTGAGGTGGAAGGATCACAAGAGCCCAGGAGGCAGAGGTTGCAGTGAGCCGAGATTGTGCCGCTATACTCCAGCCTGGGCGACACAGGGAGATCCTGTCTTAAAAAACAAACGAAAAAGAGACACAGACCAATCAATGGAACAAAATAAATAGCTTGGAAACAGACCTTAAGATATATCAGAACTTAATATATGATCCAAAAACCACCTCAAAAGTCAGGGGTGCTTCTTTCTAAAACATCTTTCTCCTCACTTCTACCCTGGGAATGTGGAAGTGAGATGGAAACATCAGATGTACAGGCTCTTTCGACAGTAAACATCATGAAGACCTTTAGTGCTTTGGCGGTGGTGTGGCAGGGATTCTGGCCTCTGTTCCGAGGGTACTAAGTGGCCAGGGCTAGATAGCAGTGGGATACCAACTGCAGCAGGTCTCCTGGCTATGTCATTTTTAAGTGAAAAGCATCTAAAATTGGTTTCTTTTCTTCAGACAAAATTTTAGACTAACTTAAACACTTAAACTTTTTTGTTTGGGGAAAAAAAATGGAAAAAATTGATCGTTCCACAAATATTGTTGAGAAAATCGGCCGGCTAGAAGTGGATCAATTTAGGCATTCTCCTCAAATCATACACCAGGGTAAATTCCAGCTGTATCACAGAGTTAAATAGGAATAAAGAAACTACAAGTCCACTAAGAAAAGTAAGGGTATTGGATTTCCAAGTAAAAAAATCTTTCAACGTTTAGAAGCAAAAGTACAAATCAAGCCAGGCACGGTGGCTCACGTGTGTAATCTCAGAACTTTGGGAGGCTGAGCGGGGAGGGTCACTCGAGGTCAGGAGATCCAGACCAGCCTGGTCAACATGGTGAAACTGGTCTCTACTAAAAATACAAAAATTAGCTGGGGACTCGGGAGGCTGAGGCAGGAGAATCAGTTGAGCCCAGTGGGCAGAGGTTGCAGTGAGCTGAGATGGAGCAACTGCGCTTCAGCCTGGGCAACAGGTTGCCTCAAAAAAAAAAAAAAAGAATGCAAATTCTGATCAGCAGGTCTTATTACAAAAGTGTAAATCATGAAGGGACAGACAGAGGGATAAATGTTATTAATCAATTTATCTACATAAAAAAAGAATGTTTAGCATTTTTTATAAAAGCAAAAAAATGAAAAAAATATATAAATGTAAAGAACTTGGGTTTTTTTTTTTTTTGGAGACAGAGTTCTACTCTTGTTGCCCAGGCTGGAGTGCAATGATACAATCGCGGCTCACTGCAACCTCCGCCTCCTGGGTTCAAGTGATTCTCCTGCCCCAACCTCCCAAGTAGCTGGAATTACAGGCATCTGCCACCAGGCCCGGCTAATTTTTGTATTTTTAGTAGAAACAGTTTCACCATGTTGGCCAGGCTGGTCTCGTACTCCTGAACTCAGGTAATCCACCTGCCTCAGCCTCTCAAAGTGCTGGGATTATAAGTGTAAGCCACCTTGCCCAGCCTATATGTAAACAACTTGAACATTTATCAGCAGGGTACTGTAAATGAGGGTATACTCTTGTATGTAATAAATACATTTTAAAAGCAATGCTACAAAAAAAAGACTACAGTGGTAGACTCAAAAAAAAAAAAAAAGAGCAATGCTCCATCATGTGCTGGAACAGTAGGCCAGACACGGTGGCTCACACCTGTAATCCCAGCACTTTGGGAGGCTGAGGCAGGCAGATTGCCTGAGCTCAGGAGTTCGAGAGCAGCCCGGGAAACACAGTGAAATCCTGTCTCTACTAAAATAGAAAAGAAATTAGCAAGGTGTGGTGGCAGGCACCTGTAGTCCCAGCTACTCAGGAGGCTGAGGCAGGAGAATTGCGTGAATCTGGGAGGTGAAGGTTGCAGTGAACCGAGATCACGCCACTGCACTCCAGCCTGGGTGACAGAGTGAGACTCTGTCTCTACAAAAAAGGAAGGAAAGGAAAGAAAGAGGGAGGGAGGGAGGGAGGGAGGAAAGAGAGAGAGAGAGAGAGAGAGAGAGAGAGAGAGGCTTTCCAATTTTCCTGACTTTGAAAATGCAGCACTCAAGTTGGTACAGATAATTCTCTAGAATAACCACGCACTTTTACTGCCACCGAGTTGTGGCTTATGAGAATCAGTTATTGTTGTTCCCAAACCTATTCCTGTCAGTTGTACTTGTTATAATTTCACATTTAAAGTAATGATTATGTACATTGAGGAAATGACTATATTTAGAAACACTAAGTACTATGCTCTGAAAAGCTTCTTCAACAGAGATAAGTCACTGTAAAGACCTGATATCACATTAGATGGAGGTAAGACAATTTTCAGAAGTTAGGGGGAAAAACTAAGTGAAGATTTTATATTCATACTACAGGATTTTTTAAATTGCTGGCTCAGTACAAAATAAACTGAAATTGTAAATTCCATATGATGCATTATGGGCACAGTTTATATTGGAAAGATGATACGGACTTTGGCAGTGGGCCCATACTCACAGAACAGGCTTTGACCCAATATCCTAAGATTGTGGAAAAGATATAAATTTATGTTTTAAACTAAAATGTTTGAATTATATATGTGATCACTTGTTGATTTCCCTCACTTTATCAATCATTTAATGATCTAGATCATGTTGCATCACAAGTTTTTTCCTGTCCTTATCAAAAAATGATGTGGTAGCTCACAGGGTAAGTAAAAGGACAAATGTTTGCACGTTGAGGGAAAAAGACCACCACCACCACCACCGGCGTAAATAGAATGACAAATGTTTGCACGCTGAGGGAAAAAGACCACCATCACCAACGGTGTAAATAAAAGGACAAATGTTTGCACGCTGAGGGAAAAACACCACCACCACCACCGCCGGCAGATGCACGAGAGTGAGCAACTACCCATTACCATAATATTATTATCATATTATCATTATCATTTTTTTTTCGAGACGGAGTTTTGCTCTTGTTGCCCAGGCTGGAGTGCAATGGCACCATCTCAGCTCACTGCAACCTTCACCTCCTGGGTTCAAGCGATTCTCAGCCTCCCAAGTAGCTGGGATTACAGGCGTGCGCCACCATGCCCGGCTAATTTTGTATTTTTAGTAGAGATGGAGTTTCTTCACGTTGGTCAGGCTGGTCTCAAACTCCCAACCTCAGGTGATCCACCTCCCAGAGTACTGGGATTATAGGCATGAGCCATCAGGCCCAGCCCAAAGAGCTACGATATTAAAACTGAGTGATGATGGCAAATAGAGAACAACACCCCAGAATAGAAATCCAGAAATGGATACAAATGCATAGGAAATTAAATATATTCCAAATAACTCACAGATGGAACCATTCGAATGTAAAAAACTAAACCACAAAAGCAACAGAAGAAACCATGAGAAAACATTCTTAATAATCATAGAGCAGGGGGCACAGTGGCTCACGCCTGTAATCCCAACACTTTGGGAGGCCGAGGCGGGCAGGTCACTTGAGGTCAGGAGTTTGAGACCAGCCTGGCCAACACAGTGAAACCCCATCTCTACTAAAAATACAAAAATTAGCTGGTGTGGTGACATGCACCTGTAATCCCAGCTACATGGGAGGCTGAGGCAGGAGAATTGCTTGAACCCGGGAGGCAG